TATATTTATTCTCTACATTCCCACGGCCTGCGCACAACTTAATACCCGAAACAAGATTTATTTCAATGGAGATAATATTTTAATAAAACGCTGGTTTGCTTTATAGATTAAAATCTTTATTTATTGTTAACCTTTAAATAATTTTGGTAAGGATATCGTAAGATAAATAAATATGAGATAATACGAAATTATGGAATGAAGGTGTTTCACGTCCTCTATTGTCAATGATCGCGTCACTTTGACCTCGTATGGAATGCATGTTACTCACCTTTAAACCGCAGCCCCCTATTGTCACCTATTATGTTACAGGACAGCACACAAAGTGCAATGACCCCTATCAATTAGAGTGGGACTGTGACTCGACCGAATGTGAGTTTGGGCTAGTGACGTCATGGAAATTTTTAAGTCATATAATACACCCCATTGTTACGTAAAAAGAATGGGCTTGACCAAAATTCCGGTCATTGAAACTGATACCAGGGTGCGTTATCCCCCATTGTTCGCGATCAGTCACGCGTGAATGACCCCATTGTTATATAATTGGTCACGTGACCGTGCCAGCCGTGCAAGGTAGGCTGACCAACGGACCTTTCCGGTTTTTCGTAGCAGAACATTTAGCCACACCTTTTCCATTCATTGCTAGGTCAACTGCTCACAAACAGTATCACAAACATAAGCACTTGTTCTTTTGTGAAAACCAGGTCAACCAGTGACTATGTATTATCTCACTGACAAGTTTACCAATTTACATAAAACTGTCAACACCGAAAATATATACTACTATTATATCCGTCGTTTTGTTTTTTAAACTAAAGTTGTTTGGAGTTTCCGTGACATAAAGGTGTCTCAGACGTAATGCGATATGGGCAGCGGGCAAAGTGTTACGACCCCTATCAATTAGAGTAGGACTGTGACTCGACCGAATGTGGGTTAAGCTAGTGACGTCATGGAAATTTTTAAGTCATATAATACACCCCCATTGTTACGTAAAAAGGATGGGCTTGACCTACATTCCGGTCATTGAAACTGATACCAGGGTGCGTTATCCCCCATTGTTCGCGATCAGTCACGCGTGAATGACCCGATTGTTATATAATTGGTCACGTTGCAGGCAGGCTGACGAAACGATTGTTGTACACTACTATCCTTGCAAACTGTCCGCACTCCATGGCGTCTCATCGTGTCTAAGTGCTAGACAATGAGCACTACACGGTATTTCTAAAACGGTTTGCATGCATGAAATGCTTTAATTGGTCATTTGGGGTTAATATAAAAGCGTTTATCATAGATAATGCCTAACTGGTGATTTGGGGTCAATATAAAAGCGTTTATCATAGATAATGCCTAATTGGTGATTTGGGGTCAATATAAAAGCGTTTATCATAGATAATGCCTTATTGGTCATTTGGGGTCAATATAAAAGCGTTTATCACAAATAATGCCTAACTAGTGATTTGGGGTCAATATAAAAGCGTTTATCATAGATAATGCCTTATTGGTGATTTTGGGCCAATATAAAAGCGTTTATCATAGATAATACCTATTTTAACAGTGGCACCTTAAAAGGACATTCCTCCAATCTTGTTAAGTATTTAATCTAACAATTTGTCCTGTCCATGCCCTCAGCACGAAACAACCTTACAGGCGTAACTGGTAATGTAAATGTCAACGAACCGGAAATACTGGCATTTTGTTTTGGCCATTTGCTTTGCCTAATTTAAACTGGCATTTGTTTTTCCTAATTTACACACGATTGGAGATGTTTCTCGCCATTTTACGTATTTAATCTAAAACAATTGTGGGAATAAAAAGCAACTGAAAGAGGACAAAATTCACTCTTATAACATCTAGAACAACAGACATTCATATAACCTTTTATTATATCAAATTATTTGAAGAAAAAATGTGTTAGTAATGAAAACGAAAACTGAAATATAGTTCAATATTACGTTGTACTTTATGTGAAACATAGATATCATCGTTGATGAATACTTGAATAATTATTGTCTTATGCATTCAACATCAAGTCTCTGTAGATATGTAACTGGGTATGACACAAACTCCTCGCAGCGGTTACTTCCCCTGATCTGTACAGTAACCACTGCCACCACAAGTAAATTCGGTCGAATATAGCCGGATATATTTTTTTCACTTTTAATTTTGAAATAGAATACTTTATATCATTTTAGTTTTCTTTCGTTAAATAGTTATGCTTAATGTACAAGAAAGTAAAAAAATATACCTATAAAAATTATTCTGTAAACATAACGAAAGATATTTTCACTGTGACACCGTATGCATAGTAACAATGGCAGAATATAAACAGTTATTGAACGATTACACAAAAAAAATTGATCCCGCACTTGTTTTAAAGTGATAACAAATTGTGTGTCTTGAACTTATTTTGTCTTGTAAGGATGTAATTATAAATCTGCCAGTTTGATACGGGATCCTTGGCGTTCTGAAACTGGCCGCCATGTTTTTGTCACATGATACAACTATCATCACGTGATTTCAGTGGTGGCAGTGGTTAAAGTAGCAAAGCGTGACGTAACCGCTGTGAGGAGTTTGGGTATGACATTTACCCTATAGAGAATTTTTGCCAAAACACCACCCCCCTCCACACCCAAAACAAAATTGGTATATAATTTACGTTGAGATGTCATCAGACCTCTCCACTGTGTTCAGACTGATTGCTGGCGGCATCCATTTTTGCGTATCTGATTGTAGTGAATAAACCTCATTTAAAGCGTAAAATCATTAGGAGCAGTCTACAAAAAACTGTTATGCGCATGCTCCGCTTCACTTAAACGGAAAACTAACATCGAAGTAAACAAATCGGTACATAGAAAACTCGGCAAATATTATTTACGTTACTTAGCGCTACGTGGATGTTTAATTCCGTTTTAATCTTTAAAACTGTAATATGAAAAAGGCAAAGCCTTAAAGCGAGCTCGATGTACTTTTAACGTGAAATAGCATGAAATAATCGCTAATTTTTATTTCAAATGCAGTAACGAGTGCGTGTGACGTCACACGTACTGTGTTAATTTATGGCTCCGCCCCTGTCGTGAAATGAATAACGAGTTTTGAAAACGTTGATAAAACTTTGTTTATTTTATTTCACTCTATAAATTTTCAAGCGAAATAAAGATTATTTAAAGTGAAATAAATGTAAAACTTAAAACGTTTGCGACATTAACATAGCGTACTTGATTTGTTTGTTTTGCACGTGCTGTTTGGCGCTACATTGTGACGTCAAGTAAACAATATTTTAAACGTCTGTACAGCGTTAACGACTGAATAAAAGATATTGGTGTTCGGATTCCTTTTCTTAGTTAGACCATTTTCTTTCATTCTAGATAGTTTTCACAACAAAATTCGACAAAAAATTGTTTTTATTTATCAGATTTCAAACAAAATGGCGCCTTCGATTTTCATTTTTATACACAGCTTCCGTTATTCTGGTTCCCTGTCCAATTATGGTTCCCATAGACGTGCGCGGGTGACCAGTCTACACATCCGTTTTCAGTCAGAATTCCTCAGTTTTTATTGTTATTTTTAAATTCGAAAGGTTGCGATGTGTCCAATAAGGTACTTTGGACGAAAGTTTTCTAAACCATCACTTAGCAGGTACTCGCGTTACCGTAAAGCTCGCTTTGCGAGCAGGCCCTTCGGGCCAGCTCGTCGAGCTCGCTATAAATCGATTACCGTATTGTTTTACTATTTCATGTTCCGATAAATAGTAACAGTGGACATTACTGCTACGATATCACCATGCACTTTTATATGACCGAGTGAACAGTGTACCGAAGTTTCGTTTAAACCGGTATGACTAAATAACGCAACGGAGATTTTTTGGCGCAAATGGCACAAATTTTACTCGAGCTTGATTTTCTTCAAATATTGTGGTTGGAGGCATTCAGCTTTTTATACTGTTTATTCCAATCATTAACATTTTTTTATGTAAATCTAGGACTTAAAATTGTTTGATTAACATACTTTATGCCCGTTTTGGAAAATGTAGAGAAAACATTTCCATATACTAAAAAACACTAACCGAAAATTTGCTCATTAAATTTTTTAAAAAACTTTTATTTTGATACTACTTTTAATATATATATATCATTTATTTTAAATTTATTTTGATGACATAACATAAATTGTTCCCTTTGTAGAAAAAGTATCCCTAATGCGCCAAGAAAAAAGTCCATTTCTCCGGCAAATAATCTTTCAAAACATTAAAAAATGAAGTGTAAAACAAACTTTCATTATGATACTATATTCAATATATATATTCTATTTTGTTAAATAATTGTAATTTATAAGCAATTGCGCCTTTTATGCAAAAATATCCCCAAATAGTTTCGAATTAAACAAATCTTCCACAGCTGCAAAAATACCTCTCGCATGCTTCTTTTTAAAGAAGCAAACTTGTCAGATACAGATATTATCTACAGAAATTGTTGTTTTTTTCTATGTCTATCAACGAAAACGAAGATCATGTACGTTTAATATACAAGGGTTTTTGATAAAAACGTTGAGATAACTTGCCACGAAGTAACAACCAATGCCGAATCGTGAACATCTTGTCTGCCTATTGATATTGCAAACTTGGAAACATTTATTTATTGTAATATAACTGGTTAAATATAAATGTTGAAACAACCTTAGTTTAAAAAAAACAGCATTATCCGACAGATACTACTTTTTCAAATTTAAGTATATAGAATATTAAAATATTCAGCAAAGCTTGTAAACAAATTAAACAGATAGCGCGTGACATTTTAAACATACGATAAATGCCGGTCACCAAATCGGAAGTATTTTGACTATAACGCGCTATTCTTTTTTGGCTTTTACTTTGGCAGTTCTGTTAAATAATACACTGACAGCCTAAAATGGGGTCCCTGTTTTGAATAAATTGTTTTATAGACATCATTTAAAAATTCAACCCGTTATATTAACAAAAGTACAAAGTGCACAATGAAAAATCATACCTTTTATTGAATACGTCTTTTAAAAATATATTCCCAGTTATTGCAAGGCACCAGATGAAAACTTTCGTTTTGTTTTACTTTTGTACTATTTTTCACACACCTTATGCGTTACAAAATTATTTGACTACAAAATTTATATAAACTAACCTTTCCGATTTGATGTCCTCAATGCTTTAACTTTAAAAAAGAATCCAGTGAGCTTTTATATATTTACAATTTAAAAAGTAAATATTTATTACATTTAACAGCTACTGCGCTGAAATGAGAGATTTATTAACTGTCGGCTGCTGGAATATATATAGACATTATATTAGATCATTTACTCGCCATGAGCTAAATTACGGGCAAGGGATATTTGTTGGTAAAGGGCAAAGCTTTCATATGTGAATTCCCATCTGACAAAATTAACTCAGGTCATTATTACACGTACATTGTCCGTTCACTTTGACTAGAGAAATAATATACGATGTTCATGAAACGTTATTGTATAGTTTCGTATTTTGTATAAAGAAAGAAAGAAAGAAAGATAGAAAGAAAGAAAGAAAGAAATAAAGAAAGAAAGAAAGAAAGAAAGAAAGAAAGAAAGAAAGAAAGAAAGAAAGAAATAAATAAAGAAAGAAAGAAAGAAAGAAGAAAGGAAAGGAAAGGAAAGAAAGAAAGAAAGAAAGAAAGAAAGAAAGAAAGAAAGAAAAGAAAGAAAAGAAATAAAGAAAGAAAGAAAGAAAGAAAGAAAGAAAGAAAGAAAGAAAGAAAGAAAGAAAGGAAAAGGAAAGGAAAGAAAGAAAGAAAGAAAGAAAGAAAGAAAGAAAGAAAGAAAAGAAAAGAAATAAATAAAGAAAGAAAGAAAGAAAGAAAGAAAGGAGAAAGGAAAGAAAACACCCGTAAACACTTAAGAATAGTGAAACATTTGAGGCGACCGAAATACATAAAATTACAAATACACCTATAACTGCTGCTTATAAAAGTTAAATTTTCATTTCTTTCAACGTATCCAAATAACACGTAGTTGATAAGTAAAGATGACATTTTGTCATATAGACCCTAATATGTTGTTTGCTTTATATTTACAACAATGGTACTTCGGTAACAAAATTTTATTGCCGTAGCTTTCGGCCTTCTTCCGCAGCATTTATTACACATATAATATATATATATATTGATATCAAATGGATATTGTTGTTTAAACCTAATTTTGCATAAATAAATATGTTTTATAAAACTGTGTAGTAAATTTCAATATTTTACTGAAATGACAACTAAAGGTAGTATGTTATTACAACATGAATAAATCACTTGAGCATAAATCCTCCGAGGACAACATAAATCCTGCGAGGACAACATAAATCTCCGAGGACAACATAAATCCTCCGAGGACAACATAAATCTCCGAGGACAACATAAATCTCCGAGGACAACATAAATCCTCCGAGGACAACATAAATCCTCCGAGGACAACATAAATCCTCCGAGGACAACATAAATCTCCGAGGACAACATAAATCTCCGAGGACAACATAAATCCTCCGAGGACAACATAAATCTCCGAGGACAACATAAATCCTCCGAGGACAACATAAATCCTCCGAGGACAACATAAATCTCCGAGGACAACATATATCCTCCTCCGAGTACAAGCAGAGATACGAACGCTACCACCAGCATCATGCGACCAGAGTATATCCTGATGTTGCTTAACATCGTTATTTTTGGTGGTATAAAAATCCACTTTTTTTTATAGAAAATGGACAGTTCTTGATAAAGCGTAGTAAAATTTTTAAAAAAGAAACAAAAAAAAAAAACATGTAATTTTGACACCATACTGTAACAAAGGTCTATAAGTAATAAAAGTCATGTTACATGTTGATTGAAACTGAACTAGACATTATTTCAGAACGTTCCAACTATGAAGAAACATCGGCAAAATTAACAGGTAGGCAGAAAAAAATCGAAGTACATAAGGAAAAAAAATCTAGATCGGAAATGAACTGATCAGCATTTCATTTACAATAAGTGAAGTTAATCAGAATAATTATAATAATTATAAAAAAAACCGTTGTTTTCTTGTTGTTTTTTTTTCTTTCAAATTAATTTTGAGACCTTTTAAATTTAGTATTCGATATATAATCTAAATGTGCCATTTCTTATCTAAACATAAATGAGCCGTGCCATGACAAAACCAACATAATGGGTTTGCGACCAGCATGGATCCAGACCAGCCTGCGCATCCGCGCAGTCTGATCAGGATCCATGCTGTTCGCTATCAGTTTCTCTACTTGTTATAGCGTTTGCGCAGGCTGGTCTGGATCCATGCTGGTCGCAAACCCATTATGTTGGTTTTGTCATGGCGCGGCTCAAATATATTGTTACACTGCTTGTTCTAGTATTACTTAAAAATCGCGATAATGATTATTGATTTCTGAAAAAAAAATACATTGTAATATAAATATATTAAAAACAGGAACATTATTGTTAGTACTAAAAATTGAATTTTGATATATTGTTACAAATTTATGTTCAAAATTCAAATGATTTCTTGTATCATATATGTTTATACTCAATGTGACAGTTCTACTTAAGTTCTTGCATGTAAAGCGAAGCGTTAATTAGGAGCTGACTTAAATCGGATTGGTTTACAGTATTCTACCAAACTGTGTTATTAGTGAGAGTATTTTTTCTTAAATCATTGTTGTTAATTAACTCTCCATCACTATATATGAAATTCTGTATCATTTAATTGTTGAATATTACCAACATCTTTACAGTGTGTGTATCAGGTGTAAATATGATGATGATAAATAATTTTATTGAATAAAAGGCAAATGCCTGTGAGTACATATATACAAATATATAATACAATGTTGTTTTTTTTACAAAATAATCAGTGGCGGTCCAATTCTGTATAAATCATCATAAATGTATGTAATCGTAAAAAATATCAATCATATCACTGCATGCAATCATTATCATTTTGCCAACTATAAGAGGCAACTGGTGAAACAACAGTATCAATCAATAAGATATAAATGCTGTTATGTAAATCTTCTCAAATTTTCAAACAGTTCTACACCTATTAAAGACATCGTCAACAAGATTTTGAAAAATACAGAAAGTATACGTGAGTATTCAACTTCGAACACGCACACGCACGCACGCACACACGCGCGCACACACACAGCAAACGCATACAATAATATTATTTAATATATCAAAATAGTCTTCCACAAGAGAAAAATGTTAAAATATATTTTGTGGAGAAAAGTGACTCGCATTTAATATAAAACTATGTTACGGCGTTCCATGGCTTTAAATAAGTATTTATTTGCTTTTGGTCGCTGGAAAGAAGTTCAACAAACTTTGGAATGTTCGGTCTTTTTCGAAAATATTGTTTTATATATCTTATTCTTAAATCTTTATATAATTCGCATTCTAAAAGAAAATGAAATTCGTCTTCTAGTGTGTTACATAAGATACATTTGCGTTCATTCCTTGGAATCGGATGCGGTTTATGCCATCTACAATCTGTGTGACGATAAACGAAATCTTGTTAAAGCAGCTCGGTAATTAAATATTGATGATATTATTCTTATTCACCTTTTGTTTGCAAATGATCTGTTTTTCTTGGGAAGACTCCAGATGAAATTAACACTACAAATCAAAAAATAAAAATTTGATTTGATTATTTCACAATATTCAGACATTATAATAATGTTTGATTAACAATATTCATTCCTTTCACGCAGCAGTTTTTTCAAACTTATATAATTTGATTCCTCTATCGAAGGAAAACATCGCACATATATTTTGTTTTGTTTTTTAATTGAAGAATATTTCCTCGTCGGCTTCACATATATGAACAGAACAGAACAGAAAGTTTATTTTGACGTATACAAAGTACATAGACAATTACATAATACATTCATTCATACATACATATATACAATCACAAACTCAATGGATAGTCTGCAAATTTCTTGAAGGTGAACAGTTTAATCTAATTTGTTTCCTTCAGTATAGGATTTGACATAATCATTTTAACATATATTACATAGTTTAATATTGAGTTACGAACATGTTGACAAAGATAGCGTGAATTTCACATACATTATTGTGTCACTTGTAATAAAGTTATCTATACATACGTAATAAACACCGATATCTAACTATATACTATATATAGTATACTATATTAGATTTCGCAAGGGAGCTAATTAATGTAGTCTTGTCCATATTGTATATTTCGAGTTATAAAACGCTCATTGCACTATATTCAACAATGTTTTGGCTAATTATAAGATATTTTCATAACTAAATATAACTAATAATCTATTTAATAAGAACTGTGCGGTTGACCAGAAACATCCATATAAAGTTTGCTATCTTTTCAACAATGTTTGGCTTAATTATAATATACACTTAACAAATCTTATAAGTGTGCACCTTTTATGTCCTTATAACTTTTTTGTTCATCAATATTTATTTACAAAATTTTGGGTTCTGACTATTGGCTGCATTTCCACACTTTTCCCGTGCTCAAACTTGTCAAAATTAATTATGCGGCGCGTTCAACCGTGAACGTACAAAATTCACACAATGCACGAAAAAATTGTGTGAATGCGTGAAAGAAAATTGCACATGATATTCTCGAATACAACAGAGATCCACATATCAGAAAAACATAACATATGGGTACATTATCTATTCAACAGCGTGGCATAGCCCTAGGATTGGTCTACGCTGGAGTACACCAATCAGAGACTGGTAAAAAATAATTTGTTTATATAATTATCTAAACTCAATTGCATTGTAAAAGCTGAAAATCATTTAAATTCAGTTCCTTCCAAAGACGAACGTAATTGCATATTTGTTTTTTACTTATTATATGTTTATATCATTTGGAGGTTGCGCAACGCATGGTGGTCACCGCAATGTAATACCAAGGCTTAAGAAGGCTTATCTTCATAACAGAGTAACTGGCAGCGTTTATAACATTCCTCGCCGACCCCAAAATTATCTCCAACGGTATGTTACATTGATGCGACGACGCTCCAAGGCTGTGATGCACAGTAGGAGTGGCACACACGGTTTAAAAACATCATTTTGCAACATCGACTTTCGACACGCACTCACATTTTTTAGAAATGTATCTTAAAATTTATCTTGAATGAAAAAAGAAAACAAATAAAAATAATAGCCTGTCTCTTTTCTGTATTTATTGAAAATTTCAGCATGATCGGGCAAATATTGATACACCTATGAGACCATTTTTGTTAAGTGTCTTTTCATAACTGAATATAACTAATCATCTATTAAATTAGAACTGTACGGTTGACCAGAAACATCCATATAAACACTATTAGGCTTATAATAAATAACATCTTATTTACAACATCAAACTATAAACATACATATATACAAACTAACACAGTCTGGTTGACCAAAGCAACCATATAAACACTAACAGGCACGTTCAATATTTCAAGACAATATTACACTAATCCGTAATATTAATAATCGAATTTCTTATAGACATTGCGTTTTTACAGTATAACCCTAATTTATAAAGAGCAGTCTTATTTTCTGTTTGTAACAATTCTAAAAACTTATATACACTTGGTTTGATCACGGATTTATATTACAAATAAATAAATTTGACTACATAACCCAATAAATCTTAAATATTGCATCTTTGATCATCTGTGAATAACTTACATCGGCTTCTTTTTTATTTTGATATTGAAATTATTATGATACCGTAATAATAAATTTCAAATACCTGCTTTTTATATAAAACATGTAAATTTACCGCGGATTTCGTCAAGTTAATTTTTTAATTGTCGTTGCGGACAGATAAACTGAACCTTTAAAAAATAAATTAGATATTTGAATTAAACAAGTATTTTTCTTTAAAATAAACTTTAAATTTCCAAAATCGGATAATAAATGGAAAAAGCTGTATGGTATTTTGTAAAGTAGGTATCCGCACAGGAACTTGAAATTCTATCAAATAACCAATATTAATGATACTATCCAAATATACCCCCTATATACTATAAATTATTTATACTGTATTGGGGGTATATTTTGGATATTATCATTAATATTGATAGAATTTCAAGTTTACGCTTAGCGCCGGTAAATTATCGATCGATGTATCTTTATCGGGTGCACGACAAGATATTTAAGCATTTATATAGGGTTAACTGGGAGTGTCCGATCCCTGTAATATAAATCCGTGGTTTGATATAATAATATTTTGCTATTAATTTTTTACGTAAATCTGAATAGATAGGGCATATAATAACAAAGTGGTATTCATCTTCTAAATCTAGTGAATGACAACATTGACAATATCTTTCGTTTCTAGGTATTCTATTTCTGGCATACCTTCCAGTCTTAGAGCATGCGCTGAAATTCTTAATCTAGTAATGTAACATCTTAATGAACTAGGTAAAATATCTAAATATGCTTCGTATCCAAAAACATTTTTAAAGTTTTTATACAAATCTAACACTTCGCTAGTTCCCTTATTTACATTCCATCCTTGTATAAAACAATCGATCACTCTCTCCTTAAATATATATACAAAATTTTTATCAATAGCGCATGGATTGTCCCAAACATACGTAAATCCGAAGTCACATAATAGAGCTTTAACATTGGTCACCCAGTTTTTAAAACCTTTGTTACAATGTTCCAATGACATTACATAAACACGATTTAATTAAATATTGTCACTATTTATTAATCTTAACCAATATTTTATCATGGCTACATAACGCTTAATATACAATGGGTATCTGCCCAATTCACCGTACACACCAACAGAACAAGTACTATTTCTAACCTTTAATAAATGTTTGCAAAATTTCAGATGGATTCGTTCAATAACTTTTGACTTTGTATTACCCCAAATTTCTGCTGCGTAGTTTAATATCGAACCAACAAATGCATCGAATAATTGACATAAAACTTTAGGCCTTAACTTAATCTTTTTACAATTAATCATTAATAAATTCAATGCCTTAAGAGCCTTTCCAGTGAGATATTCCTGATTTAGCGTAAAATTTCCAGTATAATGAAAAACAGTCCCTAAATAGTTTTAAAATCGTTCACTACCTCTAGCTCTGTCCCATTATATGTCCAATGTTCATTTAACAATAATCCCCCTCTTTTTCTAAATACCATAATTTTAGTTTTTTTTCAGTATTAACTTCTAATCCCCATTTACTACAATAATCATACAATAGGTTTAAATTTTTCTGCAATTCCTCCTTTGACTTTCCTAAAATTACCATATCGTCTGCAAATAATAACAAAATTAATACAATATTATCAATGACTAAACCAGAATCTACATTATCTTGCAAAAAAAGCTCTAAATCTTACAAAGGTGACATTATCTTCCCTTGTTTCAACCCTACAGTAAGTTCACATGAAAGTCAAGCAAGGGAAGCAAATCTAAATGATATTTTCATTGATAGTAATTTCCCTTTCTATATCCTCTGGCATATGCGAATCTTGTTTTTATTATGTTAATGCAATGGAGCAATTAAATTAATCAGATCTAATATTAAATAAAATATTTACAGGCAACTATGGGCAACAAAGTAGTGTTAAGTTGTGTGAATTTTACATCCGCGCACATATAATACATAGTATCTAGAACTACTGAAAATTATATGATGATCTTATTTTAAGATTTCAACATATAGAGTGAGATACATGTATTTAAAATGGCCTCAATACATGTACAGAGATTAGTGAAGACCTTATACCGGATAGAGGCATACTCGTGTTTGATTGGGATAATACTTTAAAACTGTATGACCGAGAAAAAAGACAAATATCTTCACGGGTGGAGAAGGAGAGACTGCTGCGGTGGCAAAAAGAGAAACAGTGTGAAATGTATGTGATAAGCGCGATATATCCATCTAAAATAAACCTAGAAACTCTTCTTTACGAAGTCAACAAACTCGGTCTGTTACAACTCTTCACAAATGAGGAAGATAAGGTTGAAATACAAGCAGGGAAATTTGCGCGAAAAGGTAATATTATAATATGTGGTTATGATAAAGCGGAAACTTTCTTAAACGTTACACAAACCGCACCACAGGCAAAACGTGATTCTCAGCAGACGACAGGAATTCAACTTCCAGTAGACTTTGTCGATGGTGATGTTGCAGACGGAATAGATAGTCATTGCCATGGTTACGGTTCTAACGACACTGTTGGGTTTGGGACGAACATTAATAAACGTCAAGTAGTGTTCTTTGACGACGAAGAAGTTAACATTGTTAATTTTAGTGCCTTAGTACAGGACAGTAAATGCATTCTTGTAAAATAAAAGGACTGAAGGTCTTAACAAACATGTAGATCTAAATCTATGCAAATTTTGAACAGCCAGTAGACACCTGTGAATATATCAAAATTTATACAATTTTAGTAGTTCTTTTAACTTAGAATAATGTAGATTCTAATTGTCTTCTGGGAGCTGGGACTAGTCTTATGTGATCCCAATCCAAGTCCCAGATGGGAGTTTAAAATATGATTATATATAGGTCTGACATAATTAATTCTGACATTATGTCTAACAGTATATGTGATAAATAAAGTCTCATAAATATAGATCTATAAAAATATAATTAAGATTATATCAGTTAATGTACATTTATAACAGTTTCAAAAATCATCTTGCCTGTTGTATTTTTGTTGTTGTTTATTTGATAATTATTATTAATAAATACATATGCAATTTTTGTTTCACTGAAATATTTTTGATATAGATCTACATTCAGGTGTCTACTAGCTGAACTGAAAATTAGCAAGAATTGTTTAAATTATGTTTCTATACACGTGTATGTAAATGAATTCAACAAGTTCAGAATACACTTATTTAAACACCTGTATGATCAATATTATTTGTTATTCAAATTTCATATTTTATGTTAACATTTTTCATGCCTACCTCTTTTTGTTATTATCAAAATTATTATATTTTAATTTTATATTTACATTTTCTTATAATTTTCATTAAAAATGTGCATTCCTGCCATATTCTGTTGTTAATTAAAGACAAAGTGAGATCTAAGGTGTGGCCACCTTGTCCATTAAGGTTATACTAGTTACCTCCCTGGGTACAATTGATATATAGTGCAGTGTTGGTCTATTGGTTAATCTGATCATTTTTCATGTTGTTACAAGATAGCTTGGCAAAAAAAAATCTGGTCAAAAATACTCAAAATTGAACATTGCTGATGATCCTAAATCATGACATTAAATGTTGGTCATCCTTGTTTACAGTATTTATTCAACAAATGGTAACCTTCTTACTATTCAATAAATAAACTGATGTCTGAACATGCTGGTACCTTGAAAGGACCAGCATTTGTCACCACTACTGAGCCAGGCCAGCCTGCACATCTGTACAGTCTGACCAAGCTCTGTCTCTACCATTGGCAGCTTAATTTTTATTTTTTGAATATTGAAATTTGTTACTTTTAAAGACTTTGAACTGTTCAACATTCAAAGGAGATCACAGATATACATAGAATATTCTATTCTATATTTAGCTCCATGAAGGAGATCAAACCAAATATAGAATTTGAGAAATAAGTGCATTTGGTTGAAACTTATCTGTATATATTTTATATTTTCTGTATAACAGCATTCATTGCCATGGATGGTCATCAAAATCCAAAATAAGTAGGTATAAAGATATTTATTTACAATTTTTCATTTAAAACAAAACAATAAAAACATTCCACATAAAGGAGATCCAAATATCGGCAACATAAGTTATTTTTTCAGTATTTCAATTTTATACTGGCAAAAATATTTAAAAGAATCTGTACAAGTAATACCCTGTTCCGAACAAGCATTCCCCCAAACTTAGAAGCCTATAACTATAACATTTATTCAATTTGCTAAGAATAAGATATAAAGGCTTTCAGAATGTCATTCAATCACATCTTGTATATTTTTTAGGCAAGGACTAGTTGAATAATTTGAGAATTTTGACATTTTTAATAAAAATTGATAAAAAATATATAAAAATTTATAAAACATTCTATCCACAAGAACAAAAAAATAATGCCAACAGCTACAAAAAGATACAAAAATACAGAGTCCAACACTGTTTCCTTGAGCAGACATTGTAATGAAATATAATCTGAAAGAAATGTTTTTGGAAACAAATAAAGTGTGAAACACAACTTGCTACTAAATGCATGGCACATGTGCACCTTCACAGAATTCTTATTAATCACAATTATATTGTATATTAAACCAGTTTATCACAACACAGATCTGGCATCACCTTTTCTTCTTCTCACCACTACTTTTGGGTCCTTTCTTATCTCCCTGCAAGAGATAAAATAGTTCTAAGTGCAAAATAAATGTATGTAAGTTCTATAGGACCATGCCCAATGACAATTCTTCATTGAGGCATAAGTATTTTTAAGACGTGTACCTGCAAAATGGAGTTTAAATTTGGTAGAACTTAACAAATGGACACAAGAGCTTCAATTGAAGTGTATTTTAGTAATCCTCTACAAATGAACTAACCAGCCTACAAAGCAAGTGTGTTTTGGTAGTCATCTACAATTGTTCGTTCAAACCAACAGACTTATGGTAACAAATAGAAAGTTAGACCTCTACAAATTGACTTTAGTCTGCACAAGTCATGAGATCTCTACAAATAAACTTTTTAAGTCTGGTATATTGGAGAGGTATAGCCTTATGTAATGTCACATGGTGTTATTTTGATCTATCATCCTGAGAATGTATATCACCCTGTCAATAATGTTTTGCAATAGTCCCCAGGGGGAGTAATCAATCTTGACTTAAGAAAATGTAATATTCTAGTTCTCTCCCCTGGCAGCTCTGCTCACTTTATTATTTTAAAATGTTTCTCTACCTTGGGTGTTATTTCAGTTCTGGTGTTGCAAATATGCACTATTACCCTAAGATGTGTGTTTTTATCTTATTCCTTTAACATATTCATGATTATAAAAATATATAATTAAAGAACATAAACTTTCCTATGATATGGTAGTGAATTCACATATTTAATAAAAAAACTGTTGATTTCATTTATTAATTCAAAAAGAAAAGAAAAAAGTACTTGATAGAGTTACCTTCTCTTTGATGTAATCACACTCTTGTAGAATTGTCCGTGTACAATTATTGATATGTTTAAATCTATCAGGACCCAGTAATATACCCCCGTACCATCTTGATACTATCACAATCACATTCTCTGCATTTAATATCTGTAAATGAAAGTTTTGTATCCATGTAGCTGTACATCTTATTATTTCATACTTACATTATTTTTTATTTCATGGGAACATAATTTTGAACAGAAATTAACTTGTTAAAGAAAAATAGTCATTGTATATTATAAATGGATATAAAATACACTTTCCTTCATGACTTTATCAAATTATCTTCAAATGAAAATTCATTCTGTAAAGTACAACACTTAACTTGAATTCCACAAATATTTATGTATTTGTATTTTTTTTACAATTTTATTCACAATTGAATACATTTCTGCTAGAATTTCCATTTATTTATGATAGACACTCCCTTACTCTTTCAAATAGTTTGGCTACTGTAATTGTATATTTCATAATTTCACTGTAAAATGATATATCAAAATAAAATTCAAAAGTTACATTTCAATTTCCTATGTCAAAGCAAGAACATCTACTTGAATTAAAGTAATTCATTTCATTCTTTTAAGAGACAAAAAAGGCCTACTATGGTGAAAAGAATTAAAAACTAAAATAAAAATTGATTATTTTGGGAGGAACTCTCAGAAGTGAGATTTTGTTTCGTAGATAAGATAATTTGTCAAATTTTGTTCCCTAGATAAAATCATGTATAAAATCCCAACCCTACCTGCTATCCAATGCCCAAATTCAATTTCATTTTAATTTGCAAAATCTTAATAACAGAATTACTTCCAGAGACCACATAATTAGAATCAATCAGATCATTGTTAGCTCGACTTTTTTTTTTTTGAAAAAAAAAAGTAGAGGTATTGTTATAGTCAGGTCGGCGTTGCCGTTGCCGTCTCCGTTGCCGTTGCCGTCCGAAAACTTGTACCTGGATCATAACTTTTTTATTTCTTGGTGTATTGTCTTCATACTTGGCCACAACAACCCTTGGGACAAGACCTTTCAGTAGACCACACTAACCTTGACCTTCATCCATAAATGACCTTGACCTTCAAGGTTAAAAGTCCAATTTTTGCTTGTTCATGCTGTTATTGGTTGTTACTTTGTTATTTTTGAATGGATTGTCTTCAAACTTGTTCTTACTTGTAGTAGATGTAACATTCTACCCCCAGCATGGGTTTCACCATCATCTTCACAGCCTTGTAACATAACATTATTAGAGCCTTTACTAGTGGTGATCCGGTAAGCATATATATTATGTGTTGCATTAGCTATCTTTTTGTTCTCATATAGCTTATCCAGAACCATCTTGATCTGAAATGACAATTAAATCTTTTGGTCAATACATGTATGTGTTTTCTTTTGGTGCTATACCATGACATATTCCATTCCTTTGCATACAGGTGATAAAAAAGAAAAACAATTGCTCAACACAATTTCAGATGTAAAAATCTCCTATCAAAGCCAAAAAAAATATTAGAAAAACTTGATTTTATGTCTTTTGACAGGGTAACTTCTTAATAAAATCTAAAACAATTTGTTTAGATTTTTTACTTATATTAGACTCAGTCCGGAAACCATGGTTTGAGATTATAAAGCAATTTTCTAAACTCAGTTCTCTGGATTATGATTAGTCAGATAACATTTATTTACAGAATGAAAATCCTGAGATTTGAGACAGAACGTTTTATAACATTGAGGCCAAAAGTCTCAGAGTAGACCATCTTACATAAACTATAAATTGTGACAAAAAGACTCAAATTCATCAGAAACATTTCCAAAAATGTTTGTGCTTTTAAATGAAATTTCTGGCATAGTATAAAAACACAAAGAGCCACAAAAATCAATTCCTTATTGCAGCTTTAAAGCAGCACGCCTCCAGATATGTCCTAATTTCATGAAAATTTTGAAATGAAAGGTAAAATATTGTTAAGTGAACAAAGAATGTAATTGACACATTGCAATCGGCACTTATGATCCACGTAAATTACCAAAAAGAGGTCAAAATATGCAAAAATAGCCCCTACTGCATTACTAACGCAGTAGAATTATAGTGATTAATACTGCAAAAATTAGTGATTAATTGCACACAAGATATAAATTATCACTTGAATCTTTAATATTTTTACTTTTCTTAAAATCTTAGTACATATTCCCCAAGTTTAATTTTCTTGAAATATTTTGGCTCGTCCGAAGGCATGCAGCTTTAATATGACTTGATGCAAGTTATTTTTTTTGGTAGCAATGTTTTTAGGAGGATGCCATTATGTTCAGCACCTCGAAGAAGTTGCTACTGAATTCAAATAGAAATATACTGGATACTTTAAGAATATCAGATATGATATGATGATAACTGGTACCTGGCATTTATGTGAGACTGGAGCTAAATGCGGTTGAAACGTACTACGTCTGTCTGTGACGCATGCTCCATGTGTTATTACAGGACACTCCAAATCTAGAAGATAAACAATAAAATACATAAATTATCAAAATAATTTATTCTTATATAATTATGTATTCCCATATTAAACATACAGGGCAGGTAAGTGTATCATTTACAATGATTCAAATTTAAAACAACAATAAACAACAATAAATCAATAGCTAAGCAAATCATGATTAAGTAGATCTATTTTTGTAATGGAATAATTCTGCATTAATTTTTCGCAAGCGTCAGATGCATCACTACCTAATGTTAATACAAATCACTTGAAACAATGATGTATGAAGAAATGCTCTGAGTAAAAACATATCCAATTTAACTGTTAATATGCTTCAATTCTAAAATAGACTTTTCCAGGTTCCATTTTTAGCTCAACTTAAGAAATTAATATTCTTCCTCTGATGTGTTTGGCTTTAGAAATAAGATAATGTTGAGCATGGCCCCAACTAGGAGGTGGCTCTTGTTCGAACTGTCAATGATCAATGAATATATAAAGTAAGTCGGCCAACAATATAGAGCCTAGTCTGTCCTGACTCTATACTGGAGGTAAATGCTAATCACTTTTGGTTCCAGCAGATCAAAGGTTTAAACATAGACACAATTACACATTACAATCACTTAAGTTCAAACCTAAGACAAGTTCAATCACTTAAGTTCAAACCTATGATAAATATATATTCTGTTGAAACAATGACTTACTTACAGTATACTCCAAGCTTTATTTCATTCATAATATATCTGTATTTTAAGTATGCAGAAAATGATCAAATTAAACAATCATTAACCAAACCTGTAATTGCACCAAGGAAGTACAAACATTGATATAACATCATTTTCTAGAAAATAAACTACTAGTATAATATGGTACCATTGGGATTTTACATACCATCTGATGTTTCTATGCTGTGGTCAGAATGATTGGACAGTGTTTCTATTAAGCTGAGATCAAAGTCATCACCGTGGTCAACTTCTGTTGTCAAGTTTATTTGACGTTCACCTGATAACTGCTCTCCACCTGAAGGTAATAGTATCTTATTTATTTATTGCTAGTTAAACAAATTTCATCATGAATGAGGACATTTTGGAACCAAAAAATTAGTCACAAAGTTATGACATAAGCTTGTGATGAGTTTTAATGACATTTTGGGCAAGTATAACATGAGTAATTGTTACTTTGAGCAAGAAACTTTACACCCAATGCTCACTTGGTGCTCATTATTTGTTGGTTCCTGGAACAAATAACAGAGTGTGTCTATAAACTTATTGCTTTCTACACAATCAAACTAAAATAAATTCTGTATATTCTAATAACTCGGGATTCATAAGGATATGCAGAAAAATGACAATATGCAAAGATTAAAACTCACTTTTTGACAAAAGCAGGGTTTAAACCACACACAAATATAGTTATGTACGCTATGCTTAATGAGTGTCCATCCCTCCATTAAGGCATAAAAAGTAGCTTTCCCTGTCAAATCAGGAAATGTTACCAATTATGCCCTTAAAGGGTTTATTTTAAAGCACAAATTGGTGATAATTTAAGTGAAAACCTAAATGTACAGTAACCTGAGACAATATGAAAAGCAGGTAGCCCTGAAACAAGCTGTTAAGTCTTCCTTTTCAAATTGTCATTCTCTGTGCCACACACATACAGAGGAGCATTTTTCTACTGTAAGGGAGCATCTTAAATCCAGCATTCTTAGCAGTATGTTTACAAGGCAAAGGACTGAAATATAAGTGGGGGGTATATATGAATTTCCATGACCAGTCCAAAATGTGTAAAAATGCAATATACCATCACTAACTGGAGATGTTATTTTAGCTTGCAGAAACTCTCGTATTTTCTCTGTCCACAGATATACAATACTTTCTCCAAGATTCTCACTGAAAAAAAAAGCTTCAAATTTAAACATTTTGTAAGTATATTGTGTATTTTTGCATGGGCTGGAGGCTGAAAAGCAAACAAATTTTATCATTGTCAAATTAAATATCTGCCGGCAACAATCTTTTGATAGAACTCTCTCAAAGAGAATGACGAAATATTTCAAGTTGTAATATTACCAATGTATAGATGATATAAGCCTTTCATTTTGTCATTTAATATGAAGCAAAAGTGAAAGTTCATAACAGAATGAATTTATATATATACAGTTTATTCTTTACTAAATTTCTATAATCTGTTACCAGTAAATGTCTGCTAATGCCGCTTCTAAATTCCTTTTTTCATCTCCACGTAGCCATGGTGCACTAGAAAAGCAGGAAAAAAAACACAGGTAATTCAGTACACCTTTTGGAATATTTAAAAAAGGCATAAGTATTAGGAATTTAGCATCTTGCCTACAAGTGGAGCATACATGTGAACTCTCCCACTTTAAGAGGGAGACTCCCACTTTCTGCAGCCATATATTTTCAAAGATTTTTCTTAGAATAAGGGGTATTTTCGAAAATTAAAGAAATCTCCCTATTTCTGATATCAGATTTTCCTTCTTTGTTTATTGCAAATTCTTAAATCTCCCTCTTTTTGAAGAAAAACCTCCCACTTGACCATCGAAAAAAGTTCACATGTATGGTGGAGTCATATAAAAACATTTCAAATTTAAAAGCAAAACATCAATGCCCGGTTATGATGAAGAAAATAAGAACTTAACCAAAGTGTTACAATAACAATGGCTCTGATATTATCTATTCTTCAAAGAGTCAAGCTAAAAATATGCTGATTTATCTCATACCTGTCACAGTGTGCCGCTTTTTGAGATAGGTAAAAATAGTTGTGAAATTAATATGTAAATGAGCATAATCACACATGTGTCACTTTTGTTTTATAGATGCCTTAATAGGGAGATAAAACCAAATGTTTGTTTTCTTTGGTTTTCTCTGTAGGATCAGAGTATATAACAGTTTATAAAAATATTTGAGTATGTGTAAACTCTGAATCAAAATTAATGAATTTAATGAGTAAATTCAATATATGGGATCCACGTTCATGTAATATTTTCTAGAATACTAGTTATAAAAAAATAGATGCTGGTAATCATCTTACTTTATTTGATATTCAGGCGGAGACTCACTTGGATAATCTTCTGGGAGATGAACCTAAAAGATTTACTAAATGTTTTACTTCTTAATTTTGTATGGATAGAAGATATTTTAAACTACAAAAAATTCTTACATAATTATATAGAGCACATTGCTAACAAAGAACTGGTTCACAGCCACTTCTAAAGTTTTGATACAGCTTATAATGATCTTTTTTAAATAATAGTTGAACACATAATTGAACCAAAATTACAGGCATGTTTTTTTTAATCAAATCAAATCTGTTAATTAAAGATGTTTATTAAAGATTTTTTTTCTGAAAACTTTTTAAACTTCTGAAGAACTTTTTTAAGTACTTGTATACAAATTTTCCAGACTGGTTTAGTTTGTCCATCTGTGACCTCTATACAGTATATCTTGTGTTCTTCATCAACAATGCACCATTCATCCCCATAGATTGCTGACAGGGCTTCTATTTCATCTCTCTATATAAGATAGACTCTATTTATTAAACAGATTCACATCTAATTAATTATAAATTATAAAAATGCATAGACGTTGAAATATGTTTGTTTGTTATTGTTTTTTTTTTTAATTATTTATTCATTTGTGTTTTTTTTCAAAACAGCGTAGATGTATATTCGTAGATGTATATTAAGTATACTGATATAATTAGTCTATATGATAAGTATTATTATTTATACTGGGATTAACGAATATATATTCTACATATATGTTAGTGTTCATCCGTGCTGTTCTACAGAAATTAGAAACTTCGACGGGAGCGATATAGCATAGTCACTATGCGGTTTTATGAAGTACTATGAAAAATAGAAGTCGACTATGGACAGAATTCGATATAGTATCGACTTTTGTACTTCTATGAAAATTAACGCACAAACTTTTTAAGAAATACAGCGTTTTCATTGGATGACAAATAAAGTTGGACACTAAATTTTTTTTGGATTGTAAGACGTTTGGAGCCGCACATCCCATTGCAAGTGTCAGTACCACGGCAGGGTCATGAATGTTTGAAAAAATGCATTAGGTGCATGCTTTTAAATATGTGCGTTTTATTTAAATAAACAGAGGTGTTTGCACGAGAAACTTGAATTCATGTCATACCTTACTGGTTGGAGAGATAACTCCGACACTAAATCACTATTTTTCTTAAATATCGTTTTTATTTTTGTGTATATCTTAAATTTTCACCCACCTACACAAAGTTCGGTTCAAACATTTATAATCATATGCAAATTTCCTTTATTGAAATTGAAACTGTTACTTCCTTAGGGTCCTGAATACGGTATCCAAACATGGCCTTTTTAACTCTGGACAGTAGATAAAGTCGACACTTTAATTTAAAAGTAAAAACTAGCTTGAAAATTAGAATCAATCATTTATTTTTACATTTTATATGCATTATCTATGCCTTATTGATAATTACCATTTTTTTAAAGAAATTTTCCCATGTCAGTCAAGACAATTCTAACTACCATCTGGAAGTCAAGTAAAAAGAACGTTTTGTGGGCGTTTTTGTAACAGAAATTGTGATCAACATAAACACTTTTAAAAGTTTACCAAATTTAAAAAAATCTCATCACAGTCTGGCCTTCTCCTTTTTTACTAGGTGACTATGTGTTTGTTTGTTGACAAAATAAGATAAATATAAAAATTAAACCAAGTGTTGGGGTTATCTATGCGTCGGAGTTATGTCTCCAACCAGTAGTCCTAATTATAAGACCTATACGTAACCTATTTCATATTTATCATTCATTAATCTGATAGTTTACATTTTTCATTTTCCATGTTTAATACGTAACATAAAACTATAACAAGCCTGTAACGTCTAATCTATTGAACTAGTCATACCTGTGCATTACCAGCCTAGAATGTCAGACGTTTCACTCCCAAGACGTTTCACTATTGAGACGTTTCACTCCCAAGACGGTTCACACCTAGACGTTTCACTCCCATTTTGTCAATTGTATGGACGTTTCACTCCCAATTTTTTTAGAGATGTTTACTAGGAAAGTTAACACAATTTTAATTTCATTAATATCAAGCAGTGTAAAAAGGAAATTCAATTTAATGTTTCATTTTGTTGATTTCAATGGTATTGTTAATACGAATTATTAGAAGATTACTCATTTAATTATGGGTTGAGTGATAAGATGTGTACATGAAAGACAAATTTCTGAAATATCACTTTTATTATAAGTGTAACAACATGAGAAAATTCTGTTTATAGTAAATTAAAAAAATATAATAACATAGAAAGAACAACAAAGACATATTATAAGTATCAGTTTAAATACCAGTAAAGTAATTAATATTGTTCAAATAATAAAAAAAATCAATATATTAATAAATTGACTATATAATGATTATTTTTTGTAAGTCTTAAAAAATGAAATGCGAAACATATGTATAAAATAAGTTAGTTTCTTCATCAATTTATTAAACAGTAGCCATTAAACAAACTTAAGTAATTGTGGTATTATCTCATCGCCTAATTAGTTGTATAAACACTGAGACAATCAACTAACAGTTTGACACCACTATTAAATCAGTTGTATAAACACTGCACCAACAGTTTACTAATCAGTTGTTTATTGGACCATTAAAATATTTTTTGACAACAGCCAACAGCCATAAGTTTTGTTTATATAATAATGAATTTTAGCCACAAAAAATGATTATACAAATATGACAAATATTGAAAAAGTCCTAAGGCTCCTAATTAAATTTAAAGATATTTCTGATTTCAATGGCCATTAAATTTTTTGACATATATCGCAAAAGCACTATACTAGCATTAAATAATTTAACAATTTTTTTATCCCATGATTAAAATTAACTACAAAAAGACACATTACTCAAAGTTAATTGTTGTCACAAGATTGTTATGCTTTAAATTAAAATTGCCTATTGAGTCCATGTTTACAAAAGATCTGAAATGATAGAACTTAAAGTACAAAGTTTTAAGTCATTGACAAAAAAGTGAAATTCCCCTTTTTAATTTATTTTTATTAAATTTAAGGTCTATTTTAGTTCAATTCAATTCAATATTTTAGGACTATTTTAGTATATCATAAGTATCAAAATAATTTTGGTATAAGAAGGGAGTAAAACGTCTTCAAGACGTTTCACTCCCATTTGGGAGTGAAACGTCTTGGTGTGAACCGTCTTGGTGTGAACCGTCTCAATAGTGAAACGTCTGTCTACCACCAGCCTACCAGGTTACTAGCTGACAACTAAATGATCATTGATAATCTTTCATGATCAAAGTGCACATATAATTATCCAACACTGTTAATTACCTGTAAAGTTGCGTTATCTTCATTTGACATGTCTATTTGGTATTTTTCATAACAAAATTCATCCACTTTTGGTTTTGTTTACGTGGGCGCAGACATATTTACGTCACGTGATTAGGTCACATGATCGTGAATACTCTTCTAATCGATTCTGATACGGAAGCGAATTTGGTTTGCATTTATTTGTAAAATAACATCGTTTTGAGATCGTTAAACATGTTAGAGGATCATGCCATGGAAGAAAATAATCATTATATTCTAGAATCTGATTTGCACGAGCTGGCAAAAGATTATTCCCAGTATTTAGAGGTGGATTCATCAAAGGAGGTGAGACTAAGATGTTGATCAGATTCAAAAACTTGTATAATTTTGCAATTTAACAGTATTTAACACCTGGCAATAGCCCGAGCATCAAGATTTTATACATCATAACAGAAATAAACAGCATCAGAAGAAATGTTGATAAATAGCTAATTACAACTGCAGTTGTAAAATGAAAACATAAACAGTGATAGCTATATTTTTATCATGTTATAATCTGTTATAATAATTTTATTGAAAAAAATAATTTTTTGTCTTTTGATAATATACACATTTCAGAGGCAGACATTTTATAACAGCATAGAAGAAATGTTAACAAAGTTGGACGAGTTTGGAGGTTTGGTTGACACGGTATGTTATCTACTCCTGTACTGTCAAGAATCCTTATTGTGTATATAGGCCTATTTTGACTTACTTTAACATAACTTACATTTACATTTTGTACCGGTTTTATCTCGAGCTTTCTTTACTTGTCCAAAGACTGTTTATGAAGAAAATTCTGGAAAAATTTCACTTGTCTGTACAGGCTTCAGGATAACCTGGCAAATACTGGAGACAATTAATTTTGCTACCCATGTCGCAGCATTATGATTTCAATATTTATGACATGATAATTCCATGTAAAGAAAGTCTGAATCTATTGTGTTACAGTTGCTTAAAATTTGCCATTTTTAACAAGGTTTGTAGAACAAAAATATTTGTTGACTTCTTTAAAATAGGTTACAAACTTTAAATTTCTGTTCATTATAAATAGATTATATGTACTTGCCAATCAGTTTTAACTTAGTAAGCAACATGTTGAAAGCTCTCTCAAAATAATTTTGATTATTTACTATTATCCGAATTGCAAAAAATGTTGTCCAATTGTTCAAGTTGTATGATTGTCTTCTCTTTAGAGCACAATGCTTTATGTTGTATTCTGGTAAATTTCGAACGGGCATCTGGATGATTGAATGCCAAAGCCTTGCCTTTTCAACTGCCATAATGCACTTCAAGACAGCTAATTCATCTTCTCTAATTTAAATACAATCATGTATGAAAAATGTGTGAAACCCAGAAAAAGCAATATTTTTTCCAAATAAAACCCAACATTTTCCTGCTTTATGATCATGATTTCTGTCAAGCGTCTAGAAGTACTGCTGTAAAACTGTAGTGAGTTAAATCCTTGCTGCAGGTCTCTTGTTAAACTACATGTATTTAGTATTGAGTATACAAATGATACAGTTGAGGTGTTTTCTGTCTCTTTTTTTGCAGATAAGAAGTGACACAAGTTTATGTGTAGATAAAAATGTTCAAGAGATTCAGACAAAGTGTGAAGACATGAAGCAGATCTTTAGAAGAATTGACCAACTTGAGGTAAAAACAGCCTGTAAAAATTCAACACTAGCATATACATGTAGCTAGTAGAATTGGGTCTTGCCTGTAAAATTTTCATAACAGCCAAGCTGGCCTGTGAAGAATTAGTCGTTCATCACGAAAGACTGAATTTCAAATGGAACAGTTAATTCATTTTACATTCACAGAATTACAAAAAGGTCTATATAAATCATTGTTTTTCATTTTACTTCCCTCTTTCAAAACTTCACATTTCATGGGATTGTAATGGCCTGATCTGACTTGAGTAGCTATTGCTAATTTTTGACTGTTAAACTTTGTATCTCAAAATGTTAATGACTTTTTTATCATTTTTTTCTGAATTCAAGTCCCTATAATCTCTTGTTTCATATTTCCCTTTTCCTACGTTAATATTACTAGAATCAATGTTCTTCTGGTTTTTAATCTGATTTCAACACATATTTTGGTCATCTCTCGACAGTCTATCCACCTAACCAGCATCCCTTGATAACTTATCAGTAATTATTTAGTTCCCGCAAGTGTGCCTAATCCTACATAATTTCTGAATCAGGGATGAGAAACAAATAACCATTAGACTCAATGTCCAAGTTCTAGTGTGTGTATGGGGGGGGGGGGGGAATCATGCCTCACCAAAGGATGGAACTAGAAATTGCTTATTCTATTGTCTCACTATTATGTCTATTGTCTCCATATTATGCGAATACAAATATTACTTATATTTGGAAAGTGGTGTTTATTAGTATTCAAATGATTGTACTTACAGGAATTTGTGAAGATAGTAAGAAAAGATGTGGCAAATATGGAAGAATGTGTGAACAAGGCGGAAAATGATATGGGATCTTTCAGCAGTTTTAAGAAAATATTCTCTTCACTAGTGGGTGGTGTAAGTAATATTGTATCATTCTGTATAATGTACTTTTATGTTCTTGAGGTTTTGCAATCCCATTTTGTCATTAAATATTATTTCCATTTTGTGCTTAAGAAAGAACAACCTGTTTTAGATTTGCTATTAAGATTTGCATTATGAACATATAAACATGCATATTTCTTATTTAGATTAGTTTAGTTCATACAAATTTATTTTAGTTTGATTGTGTTGGAAGCTATAAGCTTATTGAAACACTCTCCAATCTGTTCCTGAAACCAACCAGTACTAAGCAACGAGTGTCTTAATCTGGGAAACAACGGCTTGCCCTTGACTGGGTTTGAACCCACACGGCTAGGAATCCTTAGATTACTAGTCTGATGTGTTAACCACATGGCCATTCTGTCGCAGATAGAATTAGTTCATCAGTAACTCATCAAATTGAAAAATGTAATTTTGTATATTTAGAAAAAGTCCGGCCAGAGCAGAGAAGAGAGGGGAGAGTTTATGCCTCCAGATATATTTGTCACAGAACAATATTTAAACCCTGCACCAAGTGTTGACCCTGCACCAAGTGTTGACCCTGCATCAAGTGTTGACCCTGCACCAAGTGTTGACCCTGCACCAAGTGTTGGAGAGACTGAAACTTCAATATCAACAGTTAATGAACCCAAAGATAATTCAGATGTTCAGCCTTCAACGGATACACAAAGTTAATATTGTCAGTTTGTTCGATAAAAGCGCCTGTGATTTTAAAATTGAAATAGTTTACTGAATAGATTGAAATGTTCCAGAATACATTCAATTGGATTAAGTGCGAGGTTGTATAACTGTTTGAATGATAAAGAAGAATGTTGTTTATGCATTGTAGGGGTATAAAGCCATATCAAATGTAACATTTCATAAAAATTATAAACGCTAAAACTACATGTATGGTTGTTAGCTCGACTATTCGATAAGAATAAGTAGAGCTATTGTAGTCACCCGAGCGTCGGCGTCTGCGTCGGCGTAACCACTTATGTTAAAGTTTTTGTAATAGTTCAAATATTTTCAAAGTCCATTGACATATGGCTTTGAAACTTTGCACACTTGTTCACCATCAAGACCCCAACCTGTAGACAGGAGGAGGTAACTCTATCAAGCATTTTGACAGAATTATGCCCCTTTTTCGACTTAGAATTTACGTTAAAGTTTTTGTAATAGTTCAAATATTTTCAAAGTCCATTGACATATGGCTTTGAAATTTTGCACACTTGTTTACCATCATGACCCCAACCTGTAGACAGGAGGAGGTAACTCTATCAAGCATTTTGACAGAATTATGCCCCTTTTTCGACTTAGAATTTACGTTAAAGTTTTTGTAATAGTTCAAATATTTTCAAAGTCCATTGACATATGGCTTTGAAATTTTGCACACTTGTTTACCATCATGACCCCAACCTGTAGACAGGAGGAGGTAACTCTATCAAGCATTTTGACAAAATTATGCCCCTTTTTCGACTTAGAATTTACGTTAAAGTTTTTGTAATAGTTCAAATATTTTCAAAGTCCATTGACATATGGCTTTGAAACTTTGCACACTTGTTCACCATCATGACCCCAACCTGTAGACAGGAGGAGGTAACTGTATCAAGCATTTTTTTTACTATCAAGCACTAAGAATAGTCGAGCTTTGCTGTCCTACCGACAGCTCTTGTTTTCGTAATCTTATGGTTGATTCCCGAAAATGTTGTGACATAGAATGTCTCTGCTATTTAACATACATTAATAATGGTATGTAAACATAATAGAATGTTTCAGAACAAAATATTATCAAGCTATTTTTGTAGGGTTTTTAAATGTTTAAGCAATAAATTCATGCATGTGCCCTTTGTTATTCAAAGAATATTTCTTTCATGCAGAGGATTTTTGAAATATATTTTTTTCAAAATTCCATAAACAATTTCTGGAACAGCATACAGAAGGAAGAAAGCTGTGACAATGGTTTTTCACTGCCATCATTTTAATAATCAGGACTTTCAACAAGCTATCGTAACTGAATAATGTGAACAGGGCTTCCATTAAGTTCCTAAATTTGGAAGTCAGATATGTAAAAATTGTGACATTTGAAGTCACATTATGTAGATAAAGAAGAAAAAGCATTAAATTTTGGAAGTCATAAGCCAAAATCAAGAAGTAAATGACTCCCAAACTTCCATTAATAAAAGTCCTGTGTGAACATGATTAATATATTGAACCACAAGGATTAGACAGTGTTATTTATAACTTGAATAACACTTACTTACATTCATATTTCATTGCATTATCCCTGTAAGAGTCAGCAGAAATATCTGGTCATAGTAAATTTCATATTCATGATGTGTTAGATTTCATATCCAGAATGTCTGACTAAACTCTTTACTACCATATGTCACATACAAGTATTCTTTTACATAAAAACCTTTTAATTGTGATCTTCATTCCTTATATGAATTTATTTTAGTTTGATTGTGTTGGATGCTATAAGCTTATTGAAACACCCTCAAATCTATTCCTGGAACAACCAGTACTAAGCAATGAGTGTAAAATTTCTTGCTCACAGAAATAATGGCTTGCCACCGACGTGTTTGAACAAACAAATTCTGTGTTTAATTTGAAATAGCTTTTTATAGTTTAGCCATTTTCAACCAAAAGGTCATTTCATTAAAGGCTAAATTTAAGAAGTTTGTAAATATTTATGTGATGTTATTTTATGTTAAATAAAATATATTGAAATACCATTGTTTTTACTTTAACACAAAGGGTATTGTTATAAAGATGTTCTTCCTTTCTTTTGTGCATAAACAGATGACCTCAAGTAACTGTGAAATCCAACTGCTCTTTTTACTGTTTAATCATATGAAAGAATATATACACCTGGAAATGAGTTAAGCACACCTGGCATTTTGCCTCTATTTTTACATGACCACAACTGAAATTTTAAATTTTATTTGGGCAATGGTACAAACCACCTGTAGTAAACCTTCAACAACTGGAACAAACAATGGCAAAATTACCTCAAAATCGCATTAGACACCTTACTGGCAGTATGAAGAGAAGTGTTGAGGCGATCATCCGGGCATGTGGCTGTTACACTTTGGCTACATAATGTCATTTTAGGTTACGTAATCGTCAAAATTTACCAAAAATATCCACCAGTGTTTTTTAAAACACTCCAACACCATACATATCAACACTTACATTTTTGATTAAAAACAACATCTCATGACAGTGCTGTCAATTGCAACCAATTTCGAATCTCCAGGGTTGCTTAACTTATTTCCAGGTGTTTAACATTTAACCCAGACAGCGAAACAAGTTCTTGCAATTTTAATAGATCACTTTCCAGTTGGCCCCGGAAATAACCAGTACTGGTGTCATATAAGGAAACATGATTGTGGCCCAAGTAGGGTTTGAATCAATTACCCTTGGGTTGAGAGACTGACATCTTAACAACTAGGCCACCACTACCCAGTTATGTACGAGGTTTCATAGACAAGAAGGGAATTGTGACAAAAAATTACCTACTGTTTGTGTTGGCCACAATACTCTCTAACAAGACCTGTCTGCAGAAAGTGTGCTCCACTTTTCTCAGTGTCAGATAGTTAAATAAAAGTACTAGTAATATAGTGAAGGGGGCATAATTCTGCAAACATGTTTTAAACTTTGCAAAGATAAATTTTTGGATTATCTGCCCTTCTAAAATGTTATCATATTCTGATAGTGAACAAGTATATCAAGTTTGAAGTGAACAATTTTGATAATAAACATGTATACAAAGTTTAAATAGATAAGCTTTTGTAGTTTCTGAGAAAATGTACCCCACGGAAAAGGTTTACCAACACTGATGGCTGATGCCAAATAGAGGGTTGTGCTGCTAGAAGGAATGTTCCAGTGTTCTTATCTAATAGATTTATTATCATATATTATTACTCAAGATTCGTTATCCTGCATCAATAAGAGATGGAAAGAGAAACTAGAATTTCACGAGTTGGATGTGTCACCTTGTGAACATTCTAGCTATCATTTAGGTATTTCTTTTTAAGTTTTACACTGACAGATCAAATGGAGGACTCTGTGAGGGATTCTTAAGCACTGCACTTCAAGTAAATGAAAAAAGCTTACATACCAAATTTGGAGTCAATCAAACTTATAGTGACCAAGTTATGCTCTGGACTAGCCCATTATTCATAAGAAAATTAACAAAGGGCAATAACTCAAAAATTGAGAAGTGCCGAGTACAAGTTCTTGTACAATGCACTTCTTCTGAATGTGATCAATCATCCTCTGAAGTTTCAAGTCAATAGCTTTTTAAGTGTAGGAGAATTGGCCCAGACAAAAATAAAGTATTATAATTAACTAAGGGCAATAACTCTAAAATCATGAAGTACAGATTACTGGTTCTTGTGCAATGCACTTCTTTACAAAAAGATCTATCATCCTATGAAATTTCAAGTCCATTTCTTTTATACTTTAGGAGAAATGGTCCAGACAAAAATAAAGAAGGAAAATTAACAAAGGGCAATAACTCAAAAATCATAAAGAACAGAGTACCGATTTTTGAACACTGCACTTTATCTCATTGAGATCTATTATCCCATGAAGTTTCAAGTCCCTAGCTTTTATAGTTTAGGAGAAATGGCCCGGACAAAAATAATGTAAGACAAGAAACATGGCAATGCCATGAAACCAGGTTTTCAATTATCACCATTGCAGATAAATATGTTGTATTTGAAATACAAATACAAGCAACAAACAATGTAACTATGTGCAATGTAAAACATGAATAATGTAGGAGGAATTGCCACTGAAGAAGTGTTCACTATATATTCTGTATAAGGAAAAAAAAACAAAGGGCCATAATTAGGTCAAAAATTATCCAATCAAAAACCCCGACAATATGTGCCAGGGTGCTTGGTGACAAAGCTTCTGTGAAAGTTTGAACAAAATCCGTTGAGAAATGTAGGACAAGTTCAGCACAGAAGAATTTGTTCACTATATATTCTGTATAAGAAAAAAAACAAAGGGCCATAATTAGATCAAATATTATCCAATCACAAAACCCTGACAATATGCGCCAGGGCACATGATGACAAAGCTTCTGTGAAAGTTTGAACAAAATCCGTTGAGAATTGTAGAGGGAGTTCAGCACAGAAGAAATTGTTCACTATATATTCTATATAAGGAAAAAAAACAAAGGGCAATAATTAGGTCAAATATTATCCAATCGCAAAACCCCGACAATATGCCGCAGGGCACCTGGTGACCAAGGTTCTGTGAAAAGTTCAAATTTTTTAAAATTTTCAAGTTACAAAGTAGACATGAAATAATATATCATATCTTTTTTAAATTACCTCCAAAGATGATATGACCTTTGACTGCCAAATCAAGTTAAAATCATGTAAACAGGATTTTCAATGTTAATGTCACTGTGACCTTGACCTTGGAGCCAGCCATGCGGAACATGCGTTCTGCACGTCATCTTGATGTGGTAAAACATTTGTCTGAAGTTTCATCAAAATTCTTCAAAGGGTTGAAGAGTTACAGAGCGGACAGGATTTTCAATGTTAATGTCACTGTGACCTTGACCTTGGAGCCAGCCATGCGGAACATGCGTTCTGCACGTCATCTTGATGTGGTAAACATTTGTCTGAAGTTTCATCAAAATTCTTCAAAGGGTTGAAGAGTTACAGAGCGGACAGGATTTTCAATGTTAATGTCACTGTGACCTTGACCTTGGAGCCAGCCATGCGGAACATGCGTTCTGCACGTCATCTTGATGTGGTAAACATTTGTCTGAAGTTTCATCAAAATTCTTCAAAGGGTTGAAGAGTTACAGAGCGGACACAATTTCGTTTGACGCCCGCCCGCCCATCCGCCCGCCATACCCCAATCTAATAACCAGGATTTTCAAAATTGAAAACCTGGTTAAAAATTAAAGGGCAAAACCTCAACAAGAGGGCCATGATGGCCCTGAGGTCGCTCACATATTTTTAGAGCAATTTGGGTGCAAGTGACACAAGGAAAACTGTAAGTGCTGGCAAATAACCAATGCTCCTTCCAGTAAAATATACACAATTTGTCCATCACCTCTATATAGGCCCCCGGAGCGGAGCCAGTTTAAACCCCAGGGCTTTTATTTGAACAAACTTGGAAGACACCAATTAGAAGATGTTTCATGATGTTAAGTTTTAACTACACACATATAATGAAAAACAATGACCTCCCCCCACACCCCTGGGGCGGGGCCTGTTTTGACCCCAGGGCTTTTATTTGAATGAATGTTGTAGACACTCCTTAGAAAATGTTTTATGCTTAATATCTAGACTCTAACTATTTGGGTTTTTTCAAAGAAGATTTTTTAAGTTTTTGCTATACACATATAATGAAAATCAATGACCCCCGATGCGGGGCCAATTTTGACCCCAGGGCTTTTATTTGAACAAACTTGGTAGACTACCATTAGAACATGTTTCATGCTAAATATCTTAGCTCTAGCTCTTTGAGTTCTTTAAAAGAAGATTTTTTAAGTTTTAACTATATGCTTATAGGGAAAATCAATGACCCCTCTGGGACAGGGCCAATTTTGACCCTGGGGCTTTTATTTGAACAAACTTGGTAGACACTCATTAGAAGATGTTTCAAGCTAAATATCTTAGCTCTACCTCTTTGAGTTCTTTAAAAGAAGATTTTTAAGTTTTAACTATATGCATATAGGGAAAATCAATGACCCCCTGGGGAGGGGCCAATATTGACCCTATACTTTTATTTGAACAAACTTGGTAAGCACTCATTAGAAGATGTTTCATGCTACATAATTTAGCTCTAGCTCTTTGGGTTCTTTAAAAGAAGATATTTAAAGTTTTTTCTTTCGGTTGCCATGGCAACCAGAGTTCTGCATGGAATTCAATTCTTTGAACAATTTTTAAAGGTGACCACCAAAGAAACATTCCTGTGAAGTTTGGATGAAATTGGCTTAGTGGTTTATGAGGAGATGTCATTTAAAGTAAAAGTTTACAGACGGACGACGGACGGACAACGGACGAAAAGCGATCACCAAAGCTCACCCTGTCACTTTGTGACAGGTGAGCTAAAAATAAGGAATAACAGTTCTTGTGCACTGCACTTCTTCTTAATGAGATCTATCATCCTATGAAGTTTCAAGTCCATAGCTTTTAAAGTTTATGAGAAATGACCTGGACAAAAATAAAGTATGAAACTAACAAAGGGCAATAACTCAAACAAGAGGGCCATGACGGCCCTAGATCGCTCACCTGACTTATCAAACTCATCCAAACAATTACCTAGACAAGCATTCTGACCAAGTCTCATGACAGTGAGTCAAAAATGTGACCACTACAGTGTTAACAAGAATTATCCATATTTGAGCAGTGCGACCTAGTTTTTTACCCAGGTGACACATATTCAAACTTGACCTAGAAATCATCAAAACAAACTTTCAGACCAATTTCCAGGATACTTGGATCAAAACAGTAGCAACTAGAGTGTTAACAAGATTTTTCTATTTTTAGCTCCGGTGACCTAGTTTCACATGCGATTTCAAACTCATCCAAGCAATTACCTAGACAAGCATCCTGACCAAGTTTGATGATAATTGAGTCGAAAATGTGACCACATGGGTGTAAGTTGAAAATTTGGAAAAACCTGAAAACTGTAATTTATAATCAATTTTCCTACATAATCTAATAGTAAAACATGATGAAATCTGTCACAAAAAACC